AAAACAACAACAAGATGGGTCGAAATTTTCAAATTTGAATCTTCACATTCTCTTAAGTTCCATATATTCGGCAACATAAGAAATTTCGTGAACCTTTTAATGTAACTAAGTTATTTATAGTTTGGTCAGTCGGAGAACCTATGAAAATATTCTCATATTCCCTTCCATAGCTAAACTTATTTCGTCTTCTTCATTTTCCTTAATGTCATGTGTCGTCGAAATTCTCAGCTAACACTATGTTAATTAAAATTCATAATTTATAATAATGATGTAGTGTGGGAGCCATGTTGATTAAAATAAAAAAAATATATAAAACATTACTACTTAGGATTCGAACCCCAGTACTATAACTATCAAAAAAACATTCACAACTGCTCGGCCACAACACAAAACTTGTTTTCATTCGGATCCAGTATTATATATTATTGGGAATTTCTTAATGCACCCTTATATATTATTATAGGCCTCTTGCGAAATTCTCATAATACCCTCTGAATTCAGATATGTATATCCGAACTCACCAAATTTCATTTTTTTATAAAATAGGTTCGGAGATGCATATCTGAAGTCACCAAAGCTTTTTTCGGATATACACAAAATACACAGAACCAGTATCAAAATCAAATCCTTTCAAACCAAAGCAACTTAACATAGATTTAACAAAGATAGTCGTAATTACATATATAGTGGAACAGAAATATAACATTACATATTGTTATAAACGGGTAGCTGAGGACGTCACAACATTTTGATAACATCTTCTCCTGATCTTTGAAGTTTGCATCCACTTCAATCGGACCCTTAGTAGAGTATCGCTAAAAAGTACTCCACATAACCTTTAAATCGGCATCTGTCTTTAGCTCAAACTTGGTGAAATTTATCTTACCTTCAGCGTCAAGTGAGGGTGAACAATACTCGACCTTGACCACCTTTCAATTCTCTAGATATTGCAAGAGGGAATTCAGTGTGGTAATTAGGCCGGCGAAAGTCGTGTCCTCGGAGACCCGAAACTGCGGTGGTGGCATGTTACCATTGAAGTAGACAAAAGCAAAGTGAGGATATATTTGGCTCATCTCTGTTTTTGGTTTGTGATGTTGAAGAAATGGTTTGTAGACCCTATTTATATAATAGATGGAGCAATTTGGACCCAAGAAATCTTATCCAGCCACCAGTGCATGTTTCGGAATTAAACATTTGAATTAACCTTTTTTTTAACGAAATTAGGGGGTTTCGGGTAGGCATATCTGAAATAACCCTTGTTTTGGTTTTTAAAATGAAGGGTCGTTTGGAGCTGCATATCCGAAATAAATTATGTTTTGTTTTTTAAAAAAGAAAGTAGGTTATTTCGGATATGCATATCTGTAATATGTAGAACCAGTGACAAAATCTCTTTTAGTAGAGTCAGTACCATAGAAAAGGGGAAAATAATTTAATCGGTAAAAGTAAACAATGATAAAATGTTGAATAGACATACTATATATGTATTAATCGTATAAAAATTTACATTGTGCACATTAATACATTCAAAAAATAGTTAAATTACATTCTAAAATGCACCAAACGAATTGTCATCGCTTAAATCTAAAACTAGGTATTTTTTAGACTTCTCCCTATTTGATTCTCTCTCAAGCCCCATCAATTTGGTGAACTCTGCCATTCTTTCCAAAAAGGTATCCGACCAAGTTTCTGCTTCTTTTATAGAACGTGTCTTCCACTGCACTGATGTAGCTGGTATAGGACACCCCGATTTCAAATAAACCTCAATAAAACGGTTTGATCTACGATACATATTACGAATGATGCAGTCGGATGGATCTTGAGGTGGGCGACTCCTAAGTGGGAAATTTTTTTCCTGAAAACCATATCTCGTCAGATCGATACACACCCTGTCATATGCATTTTCCATAAGATGACCCATTTCAGGGAAGCTCTTCCACTTTTCAACTGGAACGTGAACACTAACACTTGGAACAAGAGCATTGTGAACTTTATCGAATTCTTCCTTATTCACATATAATCGTGTGTAAAGTTCCATATACCCCGTCAACTCTGAAATAAGTGTTTGGCGCATAAGATTGTAAACCAAACACTGCCCAAAACCCACAATTACCATCACTTCCCACATCTATGATCCTTTTAATGTGTTTGTGCATAAAAACAGAATCTCATCAATATAGATAATCGAATGTGGAAGTGGTGGTTTTTTAATCAGAGGTGTATGTGGTTGTTTTTTAATAGGGGTGTACGAGGTGGTTTGGAAATGCGAGCTCCCTTCAAAACACTTGTTTGCGATTTTGGAGAATCCGGGAATATTGAATCAACAACTTCATGGTATGGCGGAGTCCGCTTTATTGAACTGTCATCTTGTGTAATTTTCACCTTTTTGGGGCACCTTTTGTTTTTACCAGTTTCAAAGGAAGTTTCAAATCAGTGATTTCTAGATAGGTGATTTTCCTCAACTGTGCTTTTATATGCAGTCTCATAGTATCATCTACTTTAGAAAATCTATCCATGATCATTTTCAACTCAGTTTCGATCGTTATGCTCGATGTATCGTCCTTCGTCGCACCGTAGTCATCAAATCAGAGTCTTTTCCATTGATCGTAGACCTCGCCCATACATATTAGGGAATTTGTATTCATCTTTTTAGAAATGAGACAAACACATGGAAGCCTATAAGTTTTCCTAATTGCACATCCATACTTTGAACTATCCGGACCCATTGGCTCTGCTCTCTTCGCTTCAGGAAAAATGAAATTCAATCCCACCCAGGATATGTTGAGAACCAACTCCGAGTAGAGAGGTTTGTCTTTGAATCGGTGTTCTACCACGATTATGCTCCGACCAATATTTGTTTGAATTTCATTATGTTGGTTTTAGAGCATTTGGTTCACTGTATCCCATTCTCTACAAAGATCTCCCTTGCTATCACCCATCCATTTCTTTAATGTCGAATGTGCAAATTCGACTCTATTAGTTGTTGTGTTTTCCAAATGTCTAACTCGGTCTGTTCAAGCACACACAACTTTCTCTTTCACCTGATCAAGAATAGTAGATTCAACGTATTTTAAAAATATGGATATTTGACACACAAGCTTCTGAAATGTACCACATTCTCAACATATAACTTTTATGTAGAAGAATTTAATCTATCCGTCCATGCATCCATTATCTTCTCTACCACAACACTGGATTTGACAATGTTACCGTCTTCACCCTTGATTTCTTTGTTTCCAATTGTGGGTTTTAGCCTAACTCTCACAATTTTTGTTATATGATATCGACAAAGTAATGCATAGGAAGTAGGGAACACACTTCCAATCGCATTCAAAAGGGGGTTATCTCAGTCGGTTACAATGACACTATCCATGTTATGTGGTTCCTTCAACAAACTCTTGCATATATCCAACACCCATGTAACATTGTCTTCTTTCTCAGATTCCAGAAATGCAAATCCAACCAAAAACGTCTTCTCCGTAGAAGTGACACCAATAATTTCTAGAAGCGGGAGCCTATATTTGTTGGTCTTGTATGTTGAATCAATTATAAGGACGATTGGAAATGTGTTGAACAATTTGATATTATTTGGATGCGTCCAAAAAATGTCAGGAACACCGACTTTATCCTCACACACTTTGTACTTTGAAACATAGTGGTTATCATCCAAAAGTTTCAAAAGTTGTTGTATTTCAGATCTCGGACCTCTATTCACAGTTTTCTATTGATAACGTTCATTGTATACCTGCCTGATATTTGCAACACTTTGTGGTCTTTTCCATTTCAAATCTGCAAGTATGTTTCTCGGCGCAACTTTGATTATCGACATCTCTGAAATAATATACTTCTCCTTCGGCTTAAGACGACATACAATTGGATGACCTTGTAGCTTGGTGTCCAACGCATAATTATTATATACCGGAAATGACATTAAACCACCACATATCATCCACCATACAATATCCGCGAAATTTAAACAGGCACTGACATTTCCTCGATCTTGTGTCTTCATGTTTCAACTTCTGAATTTTTGGAACATATTTTCCATTTCTCTCGCATACCATCGTTGCAAATGCTTGCCTTCTGCTAGTACCATTGTCAGACCTTCCAATCACAATGTCAAATCTGAGTTTGCTAGCTTCCATTGTGACCCATTCAAGCATATGTTGACGGCTATTGAAGATTTGATCAGTTGTAAATTATTGTCGAACATCTATCTCGACAAAAATCGTTTTAACATCGTCTTTCACCTCTTCCGGCTTGGCTTCGTCATTCACCTTGTCTGGAACCTTTACAACACAACTTTGAAAAAGATGTCGGGGTGCACCATATCTAAAGCGGGCAAAATCAAAAAACCGTGCAAACAAAAATCTGTTTATGTAATAGACATAGTTTTGGATATGCACATCTGAAATACAATAGGTGGATTTCGGATATGCATATCCGAAGTGACGTTGTTTTTTCAACAAAAACTCAACATCAATGCAAGGAAATGAGAGGTGAAATGAGGAATGTTTACCTTAAATTGTAGTTTTCTATGTCCTCTTTGATATGATAAAACACTTGAAATTTGGTTTGGAGACGAAAAAATTGATTGAGAATGGTTGAGGTTTTGTGGTAGGTTTTGGTCATGGGAGTAAATGAAATTGATGGAATAATGGTAGTGGTGATCATGAACCAAATTTATATAACAAAGGTATTTTCAGATATTCATATCCGAAAATATCACTGAATATTTAAATCCAACATTCAAATAATAATAGTGTAAACAAAGAGATTCAGGTATGCATCTTCAAAAGACCTTGAAAATTGATTTAGGAATTCGTTCAAATATGTATATCCAAAGATATTGGGGTTTTCAAAAGTTTATATTAGACTCATCTATCAAACTTGAGACCCTTAAAAGTCGGAGGCCCTATGCGGTGACACTCTTTGCACACCCATAGGGCCCGGCCCTGATGAGCATATTGTTTAAAAATGTCCACCTAAACATCTTTGAGAAATTTAAATTCATGCTGGAATTTACCAATTATATGTCATGCTGGAATTTAAATTCAAATTATTTGAGCATAATTGTGTATTCAAGAAATAGAAATGAGTCTTCTTTCATACTAAAGTTTGAGAACATCAAAATCATAGGATGGAAAGAATACTATTTTGGGGCTTGTTTTCAATGCAGCATTTATACTCATTGCGACTTGATGGGACTACAGAACAATATCATAGAACCTCAAAATGAAGATTTTTATTTTTCATGTCCATGTAGATATTCAATCAATGTTCATATTCATCTACCAAACAACAGAATTTGGATGTAAGGTTTATGCGTTTAATACAATCCCAATACAACTTTTTTTTTTTTCTGTTTTCATTGTTTCCTATAAGAATCTTGGTTAACCCAACCTGAAATGTTTTCAATAAGGCAAAGCTAATACAAATTTAAAATGAATTTGGCATTCATTCTGTTATTCGAGTAGGACTCGGCCCTTCCCTTAAAGCTTTGACTTGGACTTTTTAGATTCCTTAGCCCAATCAGGAGGAATTATTTTGTATTCTTGGACTGGCTCTGATTCAACGCTTTCATCTTCGCCTAGAATGTCCTTAGAGAACGCATCTGGATTGGCTTTGATGCAGCTCTGCAGAGCAACAAATTGATTTACACAGTCCGAGCCCTAAAAAATTGGAGCAATATCACATTTCAACACTTGATGAAAATATATAAATTCAATACCTGAAAATAAAATATTTGAATTGTCTATATTGATGAGTGCTAGTTGATACTATAGAGTATAGATAGATGGTGATTTGATAACAGGGTCTCAGGGTCTCAGCATGTCGCTGTATGATTATTATCATACGGATAATGCAACAGTAGCATTCATGTGCCAATCTGCATAAGAGCCAAACAGTGCCACAATTGGAAGGGGGGGAATTGAGCCAAATTTTGTGAATAGAATGAATTGACTTGATTGACAAAAATAGGGATTACTCCCTTTATTTGTAGAATTAGGTTAGCTTGCTCTCTAAGCCAAAAGGCCAAAACTATAAAAGTCCAAAATACTTATTTTGGAACTAAATCGAATCTATTCTATTTTAGATCTAAATCAAATCTAATTGACCATAACTTCTGATCTGTTATCAAGCCATTTGATTCGAAAAATACAAGTAGAGAATAATAAAAGGAACCAAGAAAATCATTAAAAGTGTTGCCAGTAAGAATTGCAAGTTCTATCTACGGAAGCCGAAAGAATCAGTAGAAAGACGGATTAACAATGTTATGGGGAAAAAATTGAATACATAATCTAGGGTTATTTTTTATTGCGGTTTCTAAACAATATTTTCCATTAAAATAAAATAAAAACACTTGTCTGTAAATCCTATCTCAAACGCCAAAAGTCGATATTGTTAGGTTAGAAGCCACGGTTCGAACCCCGGACCTCACGGTTGTGTATGCGAGTTTCTAGTTGTTATTACCATTTCCTCTATAGATTAAAAAAAAAGTGTTTTGTTGGAAATCCATCAAAACCTATGATGAATCTCTACCAATCTTGATGAACAAGATTGATATCACTATTCACCACACAATGACAATGAATTATATGAAAAGAAAAAAAAGAAAGAAAAAAAGAAAAAAAATAATTATTTTCTGTAGGGTTTCTCTCTGTCCACAAACTGTGGAAAACTTTATTATTCCCTTGCAACTGCAAATTTTGTGAATAGAATGAATTGACTTGATTGACAAAAATAGGGATTACTCCCTTTATTTGTAGAATTAGGTTAGCTTGCTCTTTAAGCCAAAAGGCCAAAACTATAAAAGTCCAAAATACTTATTTTGGAACTAAATCGAATCTATTCTATTTTAGATCTAAATCAAATCTATCTAAATCTAAAATCAAATTTATGTGCAGTATCTTCGACACACCATGTTTCGACACTTCCTTGTCTTTGTCGAGCAAACTGCTTCGACGCAAGAAATTACTTTCAACACACCACCTAATTCATTGTATCTAAGCTATCTACATTCATCATAGCTCGAAATACTTCGACCTGCACTCCCTTTGTCATGATGTCTGCAATCTAATTCAGTTCGGCAGTGTTCCAAGTTCATCTTCCCATCTACTACCTGCTCTCGAAGATAGTGAAACCTCATTTCGATGTGCTTGCTTTGACCGTGTGCTATCGGGTTCTTTGCCAGATTGATAGCTGACATACTGTCGATCTTCATGGTAATTGCTCCATGATCTTTCCCTATTATCTCTTCGACCAAATTCACCATCCATGTTGCTTGACATGCACAAAAAGAAACAGTTATGTATTCTGCTTCGCACGATGATAATGTCACTATTGGTTCTTTCCTTGAACTCCAAGCAACTGGTGCACCACCTAACATAAACACATATCCTACTGTAGATTTTCGATCCTCAGCATCACTACACTAACTTGAACCAGTGTATCCCACTAACTTCATTCTTTTCCTTTATCATTTGCAGTAAATGAAATGTCTTAGTTGAGAGTTCCTTTCAGATACCTCAATATCCTTTTCACCGCTGCTAGGTGTGATACCTTTGGCTTCTGCATGAATCTACTTACCATACCTACACTGCATGCTAAGTCAGCCTTGTGACAAAGGTATCTTAACGACCCAATAAGTCTTCTATATTGGGTTGGATCGACATTATCTTCATTTGCATCTTTCGACAGTTGCAACCTTGGTTCAGTAGGTGTCGAAGTCAAATTGCATTCTTCAATCTAAAATCTTTTGAGAATTTCTCCTGCATATCTTCTTTGATGCATCATCAAACCTCTACTACTCTTGCAGAATTCGATGCCAAGGAAATATGAAATGTCACCCAGATAAGACATTCTGAATTCCTTGCTGAGATCACCTTTGAAGTCTTCGATCTCCTTCTTGCAACTACCTGTTATTAACAAGTCATCGACATAGAGACATAGTATAAACAATTTACTATTGCTTCTTCTTACATATACTCCATTTCAGTTGTGCACTTCACAAAATCCTTCTCCCTTAGAAAGCTATCTACTTCTTATTCCAAGCTCTTGGAGCTTGCTTCAATCCATACAGGACTTTATGCAGCCTGACACCTTTTTCTCTTCGTCATGTTTCACAAATCCAATTGGTTGTTTAACATAAACTTCTTCATCTAAGGGTCCATTTAGGAATGCACACTTCACGTTCATCTGACATATGTGCCAACTGTTCATTTCTGCTAGACCAACAACCAACCTGATTGTTTCGATTCTAGCCACAGGTGCAAAAACTTCATCGAAATCTATTCCTTCTTTTTGGAGAAACCCTTTCGCCACAAGCCTTGCTTTGTGTCGAGTTACTTCCCCTTTGGGATTCATCTTCACTTTGTATACCCACTTGACATCAATTGCCTTCTTGCCTTGAGGCAATTCGATAAGTGACCAAGTGTTGTTGTCTTCGATGGATTTCACCTCTTCGTTCATTGCTTTCACCCACTTCGAATCTTTCAATGCTTCAGCTGCATTGACAGGTTTGACATTTGCATAGAAAGCATAATGCACCAGCTCACCTTCGTTATCAACCACATCATCTGATGTAATCACACATTCTTGCAACCTTGCAGACATGCGACTTGTTCTTTGAGGTCTACTTGTACTTGGTTAATCTATAATTGTTGGTTCCTCTTGTCGAACTTCTCTTTCGACTTAAGTTTCTGGTTCTTCAAGTAGGATTCCCACTGAATCTTTCTTAACATTTTCAGTCCAATCTCATTCTTTAAGCTCATCTATGATCACGTCTCTGCTTGTTCACTGGGTCGAACAACTTGTAACCTCCTGTCGAGTGATATCCTACTAGGATCATTTGACGCAACTTGTCATCAAGTTTTCTTCTCAACTAATCTGGCACATGTCTATGTGCAATAGATCCAAACACTTTCAGATGACTCAAGCTAGGCTTCGTACCAGTCCAACATTCTTCTGGCGTAATTCCTTCTAGCTTCTTCGTCGGACATCTGTTCAAAATGTATGTTGCAGTCGACACAGCTTCACCATAAAACTCTTTAGGTAAATTCTTTCCTTTCAACATACTTCTCACCATATTCATGATGGTTTGATTCTTCCCTTCTGCAGTTCCATTCTGTTGTGGAGTGTAGAGTGGCACCACCTCATGCATAATCCCTTCTTTTTCACATAATTTGTCGAAGTCTTTCGGCACATACTCTCCACCACCATTAGTTCTCAAGACTTTGAGCTTTCGACCACTTTGTCTTTCGACCATAGACTTAAACTTGGCAAATACCTCGATCACTTCACTTTTCTTCTTGATCAGGTAAGTCCACAGTTTTCGACTAAAATCATCTATGAATTTAACAAAGTATTTGTTACCTCCCATCGAATCCACCTGAATTGGTCCACATACATCAGAGTATATGACTTCAAGAATAGCCTTCAACCTGCTTCCTGCATCTTTAGATGAAGTTGTTCTTGTGCTGCTTCGCCTGCACACATTCGTCACATACCTCGTTTGGAATGTCAATTTTTGACAATCCTGAAATCATATTTCTTCTTTTCAAATCTCTGATGTCTCTGAAGTTGAGATGGCCTAGTCGATAATGCCATATTCATTCATCTCTGCTAGCTGCAGTCGAAAGGCACTGGTGCTCTATCACATTGAGTTCAATCTTGAAGGTTCTATTCTGAGACATAGGAGCCCTCAAGATTAATATTCCACTTGCATTGACGACTCTCATCAACTTGTCTTCGACTGTCACTTTGTAGTTCTTTTCGACCAACTGCCCTATGTTAAGCAAGTTGCTCTTCATGCCTGGTATGTATAACACATTGGAAATTACTGACCTCTTGCTATCTTCCCTCATAATCCGAACATCACCAATACCTTCAGCTGATAGAGTATTGTCGTTTACGAATTTCACCATGTTCTTTGTTGGGGGTTTTAAGTTGACAACCCAATTTTTCCTTCCAGACATGTGTGATGAGCATCCTGAATCCAAGTACCATTGGTCCTTGAATCTATCTTCATATTTTGTTGTGACCATCAGCATCATCTCTTGTTCTTCATATTTTGCAAATTTTGCATCACTTTCTTCATTCTTTCGCTTTTCTGGACAATCACTAGAATAGTGATCATACTTCTGACAATTGTAACACTGAATGTGACTCTTGTTAGGCTTTCAACCACCACCTTTTCCTCTATTTGCAACACCACATCTTTGGTTGCCTTGATATGGTCTTCTCTGATTCGACACGTTTTCTTAGTGCTGATTTCCTCTACCAGTCGAATTGTTATAGCCACATTTACCTTTATTGTCGAACCACTTTCCTTTGCCTTTCTTGTCTTTGGCTGATTGAGCCTACAAAGTCACATCACTCTTCGACTTGCCTGCAGCTCTTTCAGCCATTCTTTGTTCGTGAGATTCAAACGTCCCTTGAAACTCTTCCTTCGACAAAGATGACGTGTCCTTCGACTCTTCTATGGCAACTACCACATGGTCGAACTTTGGAGCCAAAGATCTTAAGATCTTCGAAACAACAGCTCTTGTTGTTAACATTTCTCCACAAGTCTTGATTTGATTCACTAGTTTCGTAACCCTGATGAAGAAATCAGATATGCTTTCCCCATCTTCCATCTGAAGCAATTCATACGTTCTTTTGTGAGTTTGTAATCTCACCTCTTTCACCTTCTCAGCGCCTCAAACGATTTCTTCAAAATCTCCAAAGCTTCTTTTGCAGATTCAACATCACTAACCTTTTCGAAATTGTCTGGGCTGACACATGGGTGAATTATAAAGAGAGCTTTATAATTCTCTGTATTCTGCTTCTTCTGATGTGTCTTCATCAAGCGGTTCTAATCTATGTTTCACAAAATCCCAAAGACCTTGAAAACAAAATATAACGTTCATTTGTTTGCACTAATTCTCATAGTTATCACCTTTAAGAATTGAGAGACTTATTGGAAATTTTCCGTTAACGTAATTCATCCATCGTGATCTTCTTCTTCTCCCTCAATCGTTCTTGATCGTTCTTCCCTTAAATCACTCAAACGGAGCTCTTGATACCAGATGTTGGAAATTCATCAAAATCTATGATGAATTTCTACAAATCTTGATGAACAAGATTGATATCACCACACAATGACAATGAATTATATGAAAAGAAAAAAAGAAATAAGACAATTATTTTCTGTAAAGTTTCTCTCTGCCCACAAACGGTGGAAAACTTTATTATTCACTTGCAACTGCAAATTCTGTGAATACAATGAATTGACTTGATTGACAAAAAAATTGGTTACTCCCTTTATTTATAGATTTAAGTTAGATTGCTCTCTGAGCTAAAATCCCAAAACTATAAAAGTCCAAAATATCTATTTTGAAACTAAATCAAATTTATTATATTTTAGATCTAAATCAAATATATCTAAATCTAAAATCAAATATGTGTGCAGTATCTTCAATACACCATGTTTCGACATTTTCTTGTCTCTATCGAATAAACTGCTTCGACACAAGGAATTACTTTCAACATATTTTACTTGTTTTGAAAACTTGCTTTTGTTTTCAATATTTTAAGAACCAAAAAGCAAAAACAACCTAGAACTGTTTTGTAGTCACATTTTATTCTGTTATTTGGTATTTTTGTCTGTTAGCACCAGACAACCTCCACCATAACCACTTAGCATCTACTGCTGCTGAATGCCCTCTAGTCTACCACAGCTATCGATCCCTGCACCCTTCTATTTCTAAACATGTTCTGATAACAAATTTTCCGAACAACTTATTTTTGTTTTCCCACCTCTGAAATCGTTTTCCATATTAGCATGTGTTATAGTATTTTTAAAAGTCACGACCGCATGTTGAGATGACGCTAACAATTGGAACTTCAAGAAACTTGCAGTGGAATGACCCTTAAAAGTGAGGTGGCGGTGTGCTACCAAGTTACCAAACATACGATTAATATACCAAATAGATTATTTGAGTTCCAATAAGAACTCAAGCAACCAGGCCTCTATGTTGCAAACAAAGTATAACCATGGTCGGTCCGCAGTAGTGATTGCGGCCGCTTTGTCAAGATTTTATATATTTAAAACTGCAATTGTGGTTGCATTGCACCTACAATATTTGACAATAATTTTCTGTAATATTCATGGACTGCATCCGCAATGCAACTGTCATTTAAAACCTTGATTGTAATTTATAGTTGAAGAAAGTGTGCACCAACTCCGTTACAATTCATTAATCTCACATCAAATTATTGTGTTAGGTTTTCATCAACTAACAGCCAAATCAGTTTCACATACAAAAACTCAAACTCTAGTTTAACTGCAAGAAAAAGCAAAGTATGAAGTACAACATTAGCACACACCTTTTCTTCAGAAGTACTCTTGATAAAACAAAGGAAAGCCTCTGAGAAATGAGACCCACAAGCACCACTTCTAAGGTCAGCAATGCAAGGACATTCAAGAGCTTTCTGAGCCATTTCCTCAACATTCTGAAAATTCAATAAAATTCCAATTTTTCATCCACCCAACTTGCTAGGTTGACTTTGTTATTAACATGAAGAGAACCAAACCTCAGTGTTTTGATTTCCATATGCAGCAGCTTCTGAAATAAAACAAAATCACATTGAAATTGAAATTGAAATTTCAGCTAGACATTAACACAAACACGTTATGTGCGTGAGCAATGAAACTTGAAAAAAGAATCAATAGAAAAAGAAAAGGAAAAACCAACCTGCGATTACGGATTCCAGAGAAGTGGGATTGGAATTTGAATTCGAACCCGTTGCGGTTGTTGTGGTTGGTTGTGCTTCAGCACTTTCAGCTTGACCCATCTTGATGGTTCTTGTTTTTGTTAAGCAATCAAGATTTAAACATCAAAATTCAATGTCTTCTTTTAATACTTTTTCTTCTTCTTCTTTCGAGGTAATTTCTTCTACTTCTAGCTAAAACCCCTTTGTCAAAATAAAACACTAAACCCTTTTCTTCTATTTTAGTTACTTGCTATAAAATATAAAAATTAATGCAATAAAAACTCTTTTGTGACATGTGAATTTCTTATATGAATCTTAATTACTAAAATTAGTTTAATTGGGTTGGAAAAAGAGTTTTCACTAATGAATCATTTGCATACTATTTGAATTTAATTTTTAATAAAAATAAAATTTAATCAGTTAATTATTTATCTAAATTACGAAATTAGATTAATCAATTTACTATATGAATTAGAATTGATTAGTTAAATTAAAAAATATATATATTTAGTTTTCCTAACTTCTCATATATGATAAGTAAAATTGCATATATTATCCGTTTTTATAAAATTTGGATCTTATAACTTTAGTAGATGTTTATATGAGAAAAATTAAATATTTATATACTCGTTTTGTATTTATTTATCCTTTAAATATATATAAAAAAAATATTAATTAATTTAATGGTGATCGATATTAGACTCGGCAGGAAAAAATCAAAAAAAAAAAAATTTTACTCAAAAATATATTTTTCACTTCAATGTCTAACTAATTTGAAGTTTTGAATGGAGCACCCAAACAAGGATATGTCACATGAAGAAATTGAAGGCTCGATGAAGAAGAAGAATGCAAATTTGTTTTACTATACAAAAGAAAAGAATTGATTTTTTTTTATAAGCAAAGAAAAGAATTAATAGTGTTGGGTGGACTCACACCACAAGTTGGAAATTATATTCTACTATATAGAGTATTTTTCTTAGATACTCTTTTCAACGATCTAATAATGCTACAAAATTCACGAGTTAAAGTTGGGTTGAATAGTATTAAGTTGAACTAGTTTCAAATTCATTCAAAAATATTAAGAAATTCAATTTTTAGTTTAAATACATTTTTTGTCTTTATATTAATTTAAAATTAATTAATTAATTTTAAATTTTAAAATTATTGTTATTTTATGGTTTTGAAAAATTATCATTGAAGAAATTATCGAGTCGAGTGGCAAATGCTCTCTATAAAACGTTTTGCGGCAGTGTTTAAAATTGTATAAAATAGTCACTCAACCACAATGCATCCATAATAAAACAACTCAGTTATATATTATACGATTACTAATTATACGATAGATATTTGGTCTAGAAATACACTTTCTGATAGTACAAATACAGTCGAACATAGTATAAAATATCACTTATGTCTGGTATAAAGATCAACCGTAATAATTTCTCAAATGGAGAATTTAACAATTCTTCAAAGAGAATTTAATAATGGTCAATTGACCACTCAAAATAATTTCTTAAACAAAGAGAAATTCAAATAATTCTCTAAAGAGAATTCAAAAATTAATAATTGATAATTTCTCAACTCAAACGAGAAAAATTAAATTGATTCTCTAAGAAGAATTCAAGAAAATACTCAGAAAATTCAACGAAAAGAAAGAAAATGAGAGAAGGTGGCACTTAGACAATTAAAAAGACACTGAGATATGAAAATAAGGAGGGAAAACCCAATAAACTATTTTGGTGTATCTTGAAATGAGACAAGTGATTTCCTTATATAATAAAGTAAGTTAGCCAAGATATCTAATATAAGTAATGTAGGACTAAGGAATTTTTTTCAACTGACACACAAACACGCTTATTTTTTTCTAACAATGTGAGACTTAAGTATTTTTTTTTTTTCAAATTCATCTTCATATTAGAATACTTACATGTTCCAACAATCCCCCACTTGAATCTAAAAAGGTGTTTCAAAATTAACACCGGATGTTTTTAAGATTGTGCATAAACATGGGTGTTTATGACTTGAACCTTACGTAGCAAGTAGGGTTCTAATTCAACAAGAGTGACACAATTGTCTTAAACTCTATCTTAAACATCAAACCTGCACACAACCTTTTCTTAAAATATATTCTAATAAGCTTGTGCTTTAATGGCCATGCACATCTATCCTAGTTTACTGAAGGCAATAGGAATTATGTCTCGAAATTCCATAGGAACCAACCTAAGTTCCCAAATCACATAGGTGAGTCTATCAATAGTGTCCTTGTAGCTAGATACTGCCTCATACATAATATAGATCTCATTAAGAGTTTCTATCATTTCATCCTCTTTTCGATTCAAGATTCATGTTTCTCTTATTTATACTAGCATGGTCACCTCATATTACTTGCAACTGGTTATTACCTGTAATACGGTGGCAGAACCGACTGTTTATACTGGTTTTGCGTTTGTATTCGCAAATGTTGCGGTAAGTAAGAGTCGCCACCGACTTTTCTTTTATCCAAATTAAGGAAATGGTGAAAAGAACAGAAAAAGATCTTTTCGAGAATTTTCTGAGTAAGGGGGGTAGATTATGGAAAGGGGAGGTGTTAGCACCCTTTTCATCCGTAGTTATCTACGGGCTCTTAGATGCTTAGCTCATTTTTAAAATACCTTGTGCTTTGTGCTTTGAAAAAAGGTAGTTTTGAAAATGCCTTAGTACGGTGATTCTCTTTATGATAACTCTTGTATCAGTCCTCAAGAGTGTTGACAAAGCGAATGTTTTTTGAAAGTGTTTTGAAATGTGTAAGTGTAAAAAGTTTGTTTTATTTGAGCAAGCATTTAACAGCTATCTACTTATACTCGAAAGGTTTGTTCTTTTCCTCATATCCTTTAGACAATGTTATCCTACTATTAGTGAGTAGGTAGCCCTATCATTGGATGTTTGAGGGACATTCGAAGGGACGATTTATAGTCACAAAGGCAACTGGGCGAGAAGTTTTAGTAACTACCCTAGAGTTCTAAGATCATATTTTTACCGAGGTAACGTCGAGAGGGTCATCGAGGGACTTATGATCTTTTTGAACCAGAGAGTAGCCACTAAAATCTCTCACGTTTCGAGAGTTGTGACTATTTTCCGAAGGCAACCGAAGTGGGCGTATCCTAGAGGTGTACATGTGCAATTGTGTTGGTTTTCAGTTATTTTAGTCTTTTTTGTTTAGGTTTGCTAGCATTTTGATTTTAAATTTTTCCATACAATCCTATTAGTCATACATCTAGCAGTTAATATGAAAGCAATAAAGAATGCGGGAATTGTAAATCCTACGCTATTACAATGCTTCAGGGAGGAAAATAAAGAAAGCGATAAAGTCCTAGTTTAATCTATTACATACTGTCAGCAGGTACATTATTATAAAAAATGCGAGAATAAGATAATGCGCGTGAAATAGAGACGAACGTCTAAAATCCTAAGAAATTGCTAAGTAAACATAAAAATATTTTTTTGGTTTTGTTTATTTATTAAGAAAAATACTTAAAATTAAAATGAGGATGACTAAACTTAATCCTAATTAATTAAATAAATACAAGAAAACTAATTCTAATATTTTTTGTATTTTTTTAAAGAAAGATTTGAATGAAATAAATCTAAGTCTAATTGATTTTAAATTAATTGAATAAAGGTCAAAATAATTAATGTAATCAATTTATGAAAATTAAATTAATTTAAGAAAACCTAAGTCTATTATTTTTTATGGTTTTATATTATTATGGAAAAAAATGATTAAATAAATAAAATGATAAAACAAATAAAAGAGAAAATGCAAATGGGCTTGCTGTGCAAAATTAAAATGGGAGGTGTGAGATTTGAATTTACTGGGCCCAAATGAAATGAGCTCAATATCCGCCTAATCATGTGTGATTTGTCTCTTGAGGGTTCATCGTGTACAACGCGCTTGGAATATTAGATCTCCATCTGCTGACATTTGATGGCCCAAACATGAAGGCACATGGTGGCCGCTTGATTATGCAGCACATGGAATCTGTAAAGCAATGTTAGAAAAATAAAACTTCAAACCTGGGTATCGAACCCAGGTCCTTTCCCTTTACACGCGCATGCCTTTCCATTTGAGCTGCTGTTTCAATCGAAATAAATGAAACCAACACTAAATTCTGCAAAAAAAATTAGTTTCAAAACCAAACGAAGGCATATCTCAATCGAAATCACCCCCTGAATCCCAATCTAGGGTTGTTTCGATCTATGACGGTCTGTGCCTTGGGTTTCAAAGGTAATCTATTTCGAAAACCTCTATCCATGGTAACCTTCAATTTCAGCACTTAAGTTCTCATGTAAAATGTCAGACCTTTTCTAATCATTATCATAAACATATATGTATGCATTATATGGATCAACAATACATATTTCAACAAGTTTGAATCAAAGAAATATACCAAACTGATTATTATCGTGGGGGTGTTTTGGGGATTTGTTGGGCTTGTGTGATGATTGGGGATGGCTTCTGGGACCTTCAGGAGGAATATAGGATGTTGTTTTTAGATCGAAGGTGCCTGCAAAAGGTGTTTTGGTTTTGACAACTTTGCTGAATTTTTTGAGAATTTTCGTGGCTCTTTGAGGTAGCTTTCGATAGGCAATTTGTGCATGTCCTCAACTTGCAGATATGATGGGTATTTATAGGATAGGAGGAGGGAGTCTTAGCATGGAAATAAACAGCCTTAATCATGTCCTTTAAGAACAAAATCACACACTTTGAAAATTTTCCATAATTGCATATTCTTGCCCAATTTGCGTGTGTTATGAACCTGGACATGTGATGTTTGGCACCTTGAACAAATTCAAATTGCTCAGAATTTCCTTCACCAGAGTGTCTTTGATCAATCCCCTTCTTCGGTTGCCTTTCTTTCAATTCAAACCAAATCAAAGCATCAACTCTCCCTTTCTGGCTGGTCGAGTGTTGCTTCAGCTCTTTATCAATCAAAGGCTTTGTAGACGCCTCCTCACCTTCCTTCGAATTGATCCAGGCCTCATCATTGTGGCTTTCGATTGAGTTCCTATTTGCCTTTTTCTTCTATTGGCTCTGGCTTTCT